AGTATAAACTCTACTTAAAGGCAAAAGAACAAGATGAGCAAATTAAAAAGTATCACATCTTTGCTCATGAGAAACACAGAGAGTAGTAACTGACATGTCTTAGTTCAATTGTCACGAAGATTAAGAACCAAGAAGAAAGAGTCAATCAAGTGTAAATGCAATTGTCCTCATAAATTCAGCACTTCTACGGCCAAAACTCACTATCAGGCAACTTAAGAAGTAACACACCCACTATCCAAAAGCAAAAGTGAGAAGACACAGGTAGCTTTAAATAAAAATACATGATATTTCAGGATGCAACAAAAAGCTAAGAAAATAAAATAGGATTAAGCATTCAGGCACCAGCATCTAAAATAATCTTAAGATCCTGACATACCTTATCATAGTCAGCTTCAAGCTTGATCAATGGTGCAAATATGTTTTGATACTACATTAAAAGAGTCAAGGCAAGCATAGTTAAAATGCCAATACTCAATCCAGGGGCAACTCACAACTACATAGCAGAATAATTCCTGCAATGCATCTCTATACAAATAAAAGGTAAAGGAGATAATATAATTGTATCACCCAGCGAGAACCTGATAGGCATCTTCATACTTCAAGGCAACAGGCTGAGGCTCATCATCCACACCAGGCTTCTCAAGATCTTCCAGGGTAGCATCAGGATTTGTCTTCCACAATTCTTCTACTTTGTTGATTTGTTGAGCACTGATCTGGCGCGCTCTCAACTGTTCTTGCTCGGAAGGGACCTGCAGCACTCCACACATCACAAATACAGGACAGAAAACAGAAACCAAAAGGAACAGAAGGGAAGACTAAGAAAGAGAATCCGGACCTTAACAAGCCACTGCAAAAAGCACCTGTCATCAATGAGTGGGCACCACTGACTTAGGTCCCAGTTCATATCCTTTAATGCATTAACACTTAGACAAGGTTCTCTACAGAGGAGAACAACGACACTCTCTGTCTTGGCAGAAATGAAGCCAAGAAGAAAGACATTTCGGCATCCACAATTGTAGCACTCTAGAATTGTTTCTCCAAGTGGACTGTCTTTATGAAGACACACCTCCTTGTGTTTTGCTCGCACCTATAGGA